ACTCTGGGCTGGCAGGCTTGGAGCTCGCACAGGCACTGTGGCCAGAGTCTTCCCCTTTAAGGGCTCTAGGGAGGTGGGGAGGGAGAGGAGTGTTCTTGGTTGAGGCCAGAGTGGCCACCAAGGCACCCTGGAAAGGCTGGAGGCCCCAATTTCGATATAATTGTTTACACAGCATTTATTTCGAAATAGCAGTTTTGAAATTGGCATTATTCCTCATGGAATTAAGTTTACCAATTTTGAAATAAGCCCTCCAGTATTTTGATTTAATTTCGAAATAGCGGTTGGCTTGTGTAGATGCTAGGAAAGTTATTTTGAAATAAAAGCTGTTATTTCAAAATAACTGTGATGTGTAGACATACCCTAACAGATGTCTGTCTAATGTGTTGTTAAATGTCTCTAGTGATGGTGATTCCACAACATGACTAGGCAATTTATTCCAGTATTTAACCACCCTGATAGTTAGGAAGTTTTTCTTAATGTCCAACCTAAACGTCCCTTATTACAATTTAAGACCAATGCTTCTTGTCTTATCATTAGACATTAAGGAGCATAATATTTCTTCCTCCTCCTTGTAAACACCCTGTTAGGTACTTGAAAGCTGCTATCATGTCCACTTCTCAGTCTTCTCTTTTCCAAACTAAACAAGCCCAGTTCTTTCAGCTTTCCCTCATAAGCTTTCATCATTTTTGTTGCTCTTCTCTGGACTCTCCAATTTCTCCACATCTTTCCTGAAATGTGGTGCCCAGAACTTGACTCACTACTCCAGCTGAGAATCTCACCATTACTATACATATATTGGCAAACTTTCCAGTTCGGGGATGAAGTGCTGGCCCTGTTGAAGTCTGTGTCAAAACTCCCACCGACTTAAATAGGCAAAACTTAAAAAACAACAAATAGTCTGGTAGCACTTTAAAGACAAACAAAACATGTAGATGGGATCGTGAGCTTTCATAGGCAAAAACCAGATGACGGGAAGCAGTGGGTTGTGCCCATGAAAGCTCATGATCCCATCTATTTGTTTTGTTAGTCTCTAAAGTGCGACCAGACTACTTGTTGTTGTTTAAGTTTTTCCAGTTACAGACTAACTTGTCTGCCCCTCTGAAGCTTTTGACTTAAATAGGACCAGGATTTCTCCCCATGTGAGTATGTATCTGGATTGTTGCTGCAGACCCATTTCTATCTACAGCATCCTTACCTGTCATTATAAATTGTATGGAATTATAGGAATGATTACTCTAAAGTATGAAATGATAAAAGAATAAACAGATATGAGCCACTACCTAGAGAAGAAAAGAAAGAAAAACAAACCTCAGAAATCCAGATCCAATTACACAACACAGAAAATAGTTCATGTAAAATGTAAATTGTATATTGAAACACATTAGAAATATTTCATTCTTATTGTACTTTAATAGTCAAGATTCTGGTTTAATGTTTTCAGTTTGTATTGTAGATTTATATTGTGAATGTACGATTTCATGAATAAAAATCCCAGCAATTTATTTAGGCTGATTTGTTCTTCTAAAACTATATTTTGAGCTGTTTTTAAAAATAGCACAGACTATGGTACATGCTGGCTCAAGACATTCAAAGGCAGAATAATCCAAGATAGGAGAGAGCACACAATCTATGGCACTACTGAATTTAAGCTTAATCATGCCTGGAGATCTAAGAGGATTGGAAAACCCTGCACAATTTATCTAGCAGCAGCTAGATCAGCAGCAGCACCCAAGTCATGCATACATCCTAACATGCCATTGTTTGGTGAGAAAATGAGAGCTGAACTAAGAAAATGAGAATTGTTTGTGGAGAAGTCTATTCCATTGGCTCTTCTTAAAAGATAACTAAGGGCCTGATCCGAAGCACTTGAAGTCAATGTGAGTCTTTTCACTTAACATAATGAACTTTGGATGAGGCCCATAGAGGTGGGGGTTTTGACAAGTCCCTTAAGGTGTGTCTACACAGCACCCTAAACTCAAAATAAGATACGCAATTTGCACTATGCAAATTGCGTATCTGATTTTTATTGAATTTTGAAATAGCATATTTTAAAATTTGGCATATCTACACAGAAATAACGCGCTATTTTGAGACATCCCTTAACCCTCGTGGAACAAGGGTTACAGGGATGCCAAAATAGCACATCCACTATTTTGAGACCGATCTTGAAATAGCGGGTGCATTCAAAAGACTCGGGGTAGCTATTTCAGGGTACTTCTGGTATCCTGAAATAGCCCAGCTGCATAGATGTATTCTTAGAGTAAAATGTTCAGAAACACCAACAACTCTGACATTATAATCAAAGAGGCTGACAAAGGAGGTGCTGTTGTCATCATGAACAGGCCTGACTACCTAAAGGAGGCTGCCAGACAACTCTCCAATACCAAATTCTACAGGCCACTTTCCTCAGATCCCACTAAGGAATATACTAAGAAACTGCACCATCTGCTCAGGACACTCCCCAAACAAACACAGGAACAAATCGACACACCTTTAGAGCCCCGACCAGGGTTGTTCTATCTATTACCCAAGATCCACAAACCTGGAAATCCCGGACGCCCCATCATCTCGGGCATTGGCACTCTTACTGAAGGACTGTCTGGCTATGTGGACTCTCTGCTCAGACCCTACGCCACCAGCACTCCCAGTTACCTTCGTGACACTACGGATTTCCTGAGAAAACTACAATGCATAGGTGATCTTCCAGAAAACACCATCCTAGCCACCATGGATGTAGAGGCTCTCTACACAAACATCCCACATGCAGATGGAGTACAAGCTGTCAGGAACAGTATTCCTGATGATGCCACAGCACAACTGGTGGCTGAACTCTGTGAATTTATCCTCACACACAACTATTTCAGATTTGGTGACAACATATACCTCCAGACCAGTGGCACTGCTATGGGCACCCGCATGGCCCCACAATACGCCAACATTTTTATGGCTGACCTGGAACAACGCTTCCTCAGCTCTCGTCCACTTACACCCCTTCTCTACCTACGCTACATCGATGACATCTTCATCATCTGGACCCATGGGAAGGAGACTCTGGAAGAATTTCACCATGATTTCAACAGCTTCCACCCCACCATCAACCTCAGCATGGACCAATCTACACGGGAGGTCCATTTCCTGGACACCACGATACAAATAAGTGACGGTCATATCAATACCACCCTATACAGAAAACCTACCGACCGCTATACTTACCTGCATGCCTCCAGTTTCCATCCCGGACACACCACACGATCCATTGTTTACAGCCAAGCACTGAGGTACAACCGCATATGCTCCAACCCCTCAGACAGAGACCTACACCTACAAGACCTTCAACAAGCATTCTGTAAACTGCGATACCCACACGAGGAAGTGAGGAGACAGATTGACAGAGCCAGACGTGTACCCAGAAGCCTCCTGCTACGGGACAAGCCCAAGAAAGAAACCAACAGAACACCACTGGCCATCACCTACAGTCCCCAGCTAAAACCTCTCCAACGCATCATTAGTGATCTTCAGCCCATCCTGGACAATGATCCCTCGCTCTCACAGGCCTTGGGAGGTAGGCCGGTCCTTGCCCACAGACAACCCGCCAACCTGAAGCATATTCTCACCAGCAACTACACACCGCACCATAATAACTCGAACTCAGGAACCAATCCTTGCAACAAACCTCGGTGCCAACTCTGCCCACATATATACACCAGCAACACCATCACAGGACCTAACCAGATCAGCCATACTGTCACTGGTACATTCTCCTGCACATCCACCAACGTAATATATGCCATCATGTGCCAACAATGCCCCACTGCTATATACATCGGCCAAACTGGACAGTCCCTACGTAAAAGAATCAATGGACACAAATCTGATATTAGGAATGGCAACATACAAAAACCTGTAGGGGAACACTTCAATCTTCCTGGACACACAATTGCAGATCTAAAAGTAGCTATCCTGCAGCAAAAAAACTTCAGGACCAGACTTCAAAGAGAAACTGCTGAGCTACAGTTCATCTTTAAGTTTGACACAATCAACTCTGGATTAAACAAAGACTGTGAATGGCTTGCTAACTACAAAAGCAGCTTCTGTTCCCTTGGAATTCACACCTCCAGATCAGCTGCTAGAAGTGGGCCTCATCCTCCTTGATTGGATCACCTCATCATCTCCAGCCTGATCCTGGCCTGCATATTTATTCCTGCCTCTGGAAATTTCCACTATAACAACAAGATCTATATCTACAACCCAATACACAATAACACCTAAGTTGAGTTACCACCGAGTTCCAAAAGTGAACTCCAAGATATCTTGAAAATGGCACTTGGGTTGATAAATTACTAGGTGTTTTTGAACATTTTACTTCTAGTATGAAGCTATATGAAAAGTCAGTTTTTAAATAGGAATAAAAACAAATGGCAGACATTATAGATCACATTTTTTATCAGTTTCAAATTATAGTCCCAGTTACCACTGGTCTCTAATCTTTACACAAAATTCTGGACCCCAGTCTGTAAATTCGTCAACAGAGCTATTCACGTGCTTAGTGTTAAGTATGCTCTGCCTTTACCAAGAATGTTTGTGGGACTTTGTGCTTGAAAAGTTATACAGGCAGAAACTTTCACAAAAAAATAGTTTATAACAGAAATGCTGAAAGTACCAGCTGGCATATGGTTAGTGCCGCACCCATTTTCACAAATAAAACCTTAGACATAAATAAGAGTGGGTGGGATATGGAAAACCAAGTTTTATGTTAATGCATTTATTCAAGGGGCTGATGATACCTTCATTTCACAGGACATCATCAGTGCTGGGGGGGAAAGAGCACTACTGGAAAGTGATGTTAAATATGAATGACTAGTGAATATGAGTTGATAGCACAATTATAGGTATATTTTAAACCATATGGTAGGTACATATGATTTTTTTAAATTATGCAACAAATAAGCTAAACACATAGTTATATTATACAACTCTAACTCATACGCTTGGCTACTGAGACCATACAGGTCAGGTGATTGATTTGATAAATGACCAACTGCCAGACGTCAAAATCTCAGATGAAGATAAAAAGAAGAATCTTGAGTTATTAGAAGAAGCAAAGAGAGTGAGTGAGAGGTTCCTAATGCGCAGAGGGAGAAAATCAAGAAGCAGCCTTCCAGAATCTCCCACAGGTAAGTGCAAGATGTGAAAATAACATATGATATATAAATTGAGGTTTGCTGATGTACAACTTTAGAAGGCACGTGCTCAATATAGTCCATTCATAATTAGTGGTTGCGTGCACATAGTTTGTTGTTTTTAACCTCGCTGAAAATATTTCTCACTAAGGGTATGTCTACACTACCCCGCTAGTTCGAACTAGGAGGGTAATGTAGGCATACCGCACTTGCAAATGAAGCCCGGGATTTGAATTTCCCGGGCTTCATTTGCATAAGCGGGGAGCCACCATCTTTAAGACCCCGCTGGTTCGAACCCTGTGCAGCTCAGCTACACGGGGCTCGAACTAGGTAGTTCGAACTAGGATTCCTATTCCGAACTACCAGTACACCTC